ATTGTAATCCTGTCCGCGATCATGAAAGATGTACCACTTTCGCAGCTCAAAAATGCGTGAGTAAAGCGCGACCCGCTTGCGACAAAGCCACCGCCCCGCCCACTGCCCAGTGTAACGCCCAACTTCCATTTCTGCGAGCTTCTTGGTGATTATTTTGCTACTAGCTTTCTTCATTCCAGTGGTGAGAGTGACATGACAAAAGAAGAGGCTGACGTGACAAAAATAGGAAGTAGCCCAACAATGTAGAGCTGGTCCGACCACGCCCTTTCTTTGCTTACACACGTACAAACGTGGTTCTTCCTCTATGAGGAAGCGAGTTTTGTCTGCATATTTCTTTGGTCTTGTTTTATTTACCACCTTGTCACTAGTGAGTCGGCCGAGGATCATATATGGAACGCAGGCGCTGCCTTTCATTTGTGGTTTATGTTTGGAATGTGAAATAGTGAACCTGGCTTCACCTACTTTCAACGACATCGCTTAGACGACGTTCCATTCTTCGAATCTGAAACGACAGCAAAAATATAATGTTTTCGTTTACGTGAGCGCCGTGATTTCTATTGACGGCTTCACATAAGGTTACTAAATGAGAACCAGCAAAAATGCGAAATGCCCTCCCAAAACGAATCGCGCTCGGGATCCCATTAAGATGGTCTCACGTAAGGTTGGCTACAAAAAAATAAGGTGCTACAGAAATGTTCTAAAAGCAGACAGCTAGACATAAACTGAAGAATTATAGAAAGTGGTGTGAGAAAAAGAACAAAAATTAGGTTCGTAGCTTCATTATTGGTATATGGTATGCTTCTACTATTTTCTTTTTCCGCTGCGTACGCTAGGCGTTTCAGGAGGGCTGGATTTGGCGCGGCGCCAGCCAGTTCTGCGAGATCTGGCAGGCGACCACAGGTGGTGGGAAACCTGGTTTGCGCCGCGCCAAACCCAACCCTCTTGGAACACCTTCGGCAGCGAACAAGGCTGAATAAAAGTCTGTCGTTTCGTTGTTTTGTTTGGTGGCTCGGCGCTTAGCGGCGGCCTTATCAGAAATTTATTGAAAAAATCGTTTTAAAAAGTCCTAAATGAATTAGCAATTAGAATGAAATTACTAATAACAGGAAACATCACGAACATGGAGATGGAAGTGAATCAAGAACCTCAACAGGATGTACAAGATGACACGACTACTGCAAGACAGACTCGTGACATACAAGCTCCTCCGACAACTGTTGGATGTTCCACTCCACAACAACCGAAGACTGTACCAGATATGTGAGTGACGGGTTGTTTAGGCTTTATTTCTATTCTGGGAAGAACGAGTACTGCAAGTGTAATGTGTTGTTTCTTCCCATCTATGTGATACATGGAGAAGAGGTTACCTAGGAGATGCGCGATTCTGCCTTTCATTTTCCTCCCTGCAGTGGACTTTTGACACGTCTGAAGTTGTCTTCTACAATCGGTTTGCCCATACACCAACGGCTCAGTGTCTCTTATGGGTAATGTTTCATCCAGACTTAATCGGATTTCTTTCGAAGGCAGTTTCACAGCCTCAAATTCCCTGGAGAAATGGAAAGGGTCGCTGCAAGAAAGGCGTGAAAAACTACTGCTGATATCTCGGAAGCTTGCCACTCAGGCTTCGAAAAGGCGCCCTAGATTGAAGCTTTGTCGCATACTTTGGAATATTTTGGTTCGGACAAAACATGAAGAAATCTCCCCCTGCCGAATCCCGACGTGGTGCCTCAAGGACAGCCTAGTTTCTGTAGAGAGCTAAAGTGGTGTACGGACCAGTTCTAGAGTGCTTTCTCTTAGACCGCGTTCTTCCACTGTTTATATTTTTTCATACCAAGAAGAACAGAAAAATCGGCGATTCGGTCCTGGAAAATGCTCACCAAAAGAGTTGATCGGAGGGGATCCACCCCCATCAGGTCGTTCGCAACTCGCAAGAATATGAGAATTAGAAAAATCGTGAGAACGCGCGCTAGCGAATAGAGTGAACCGATTCCCATCTTCTTTTTTGGCGCACATTTTCTGAAAATAGCCAATTCTAGTATTCTCCTGCACGGAGATTCTCCTCCACAGGAGGCATCGGCGGTAATCAATGGAATAATTGGGCACAGTGCGGCCCTCTCCAAGCCGCACTGTGCCCAA